TATTTTAAAGCACCTTTGATCAGTCAGAATATGAATTTAGTTTTAAAATAGCAGATTTTTTAAAATGCTGTTTTGATATAGGATTAATCAATTCTCATCTCCCTCTCCCTTTTTTCCCCTGTGATCTGCTTAGATTGCCACCAAAGAGCCATTGAATCCTATTAAACAAGATGTAAAGGATGGCAAGCTACGCTATGTGGCGAATATCTTCCCTCACAAGGGTTATATATGGAATTATGGCGCCCTCCCTCAGGTAACATTTTTATTATAATGGTAAAACTTTCTGTCTTTTGCAAAAATTGCCTTGTAAATCCTGTGAACTACTTGAATTTAAATTGGTTCTGAGGACATGTCAGTCTGAGAGATTTGTAAATCTGAAATTTTTTAATGTGGAGTTTTATCATATCAGTAAATTTTATTTCAAACCATATATGTGTCTATATTCAAGTTCTTGGAGTTAGGCATTTATTTTTATTTATTTATTTTTTTTCCTTTTTGTCTTTTTTACTGACCGGTAACGGGATCGCAACCCTCGGTGTCGCGCCCATACCGGGGACCGGCAACGGGATCACAACCCTCAGTGTTGCGCCCGCGCCGCGCTCCCAAGCGGCGCACTCTCCAGTGTGCCACCGGGCCGGCCCAGGCATTTAGAATCTCCACATTTGACATTTTGAACTCATTTCTTTTTGAGTTTCAGTGAAAAATTTTTAAGCAAGGCTTTATCTGTAGTCATTCCTTTAAATGTGACAAGTTATGCTTTTATACACATTTGTATATGACAGCATGAATTTTATTTTTTAAACTTTAACAGATGAATCTTTTAAATTATTAACTTTTTCAGAATATGGTGAATTGAGTTAGATGACTTGTATTATTTATTGTTAAGAATTTTAATTTTTAAGTGGAAAATAGTGAAAACAAGGCTAAATAATGGTTAGGCACATTCTTACCAGAGAATAACACTTACTATTTGTTTTTCTTTGTTTGTTACTCCTTTTTGTTTTCCTTTCATGTTTTCTCACTCCTGGAAAGTGGTGAATCTTCCAGATTATTTAGTGAGTAAAACTCAGTATGCTGAATCAGAAGTCTAGGTTTTTGGAACATAGAGAAGCATCTGCCTTTATGTTTATAAAAACCATTAGATTATCCATCGGGAGATTAAATTTTTATATTTTTATTTATTTATTTATTTATTTATTTNCCTTTGCTGTGCAGAAGCTTTTTAGTTTGATGTAATCCCATTTGTCTGTTTTTGCTTTTGTTACCTACACTTCCGGTGTCGAATCCAAAAAAATGATTGCTCAGACCAGTTTTATGTAGTTTTCCCTCTATGTTTTCTTCTAGCAGTTTTACAATTTCTCCTCTCACATTTAACTATTAAATCCATATTGAGTTGATTTTTTTTTTTTTATATGGAATGAGATAGGGGTCTAATTTCATTCTTCTTCATGTGAATATCTAGTTTTCGTAACACCATTTATTGAAGAGACTATTCTTTTCCCATTGTGTGTTCTTGGTACCTTCATCAAAATCACTTGACTGTACATGTGTGGGTTCATTTCTGGGCTCTCTATTTTGTTCCATTGGTCAGTGTATCTTTTTTTTTTCTTCCCAGTACCATGTTGTTTTAGTTACTGTAGCTTTAGAATATAGTTTGAAATCAAGTAGTGTGATG